AGTTAGACAGTGAGAGAGAGAGAGACAGAGAAAGGTCTTCCTTTCCGTTGGTTCACCCCTCAAATGGCTGCTATGGCCAGTGCGCTGCGCCAATCTGAAGCCAGGAGCCAGGTGCTTCTTCCTGGTCTCCCATGCGGGTGCAGGGCCCAAGCACTTGGGCCATCCTCCACTGCTTTCCTGGGCCATAGCAGAGAGCTGGACTGGAAGAGGAGCAACCGGGACAGAATCCAGTGCCCCAACTGGGACTAGAACCCGGGGTGCCAGTGCCGCAGGCAGAGGATTAGCCAAGTGAGCCACGGCACCAGCCAAAGCTAGTAATGCTTTGTACCCTCATGTAATATTTAACTCATGTAGCTGGTTTTAAAACTTTATTAATTTATTTTTTGGTTCAAGCTAAGAACCTTATATTTGTCTTTATGTTCAGGGCACATAGTAGGTCCACGATAAATGCCTACTGCATGAGTCAACCTTCATGTAACAGAACAGTGACCTCAAGAAGTTCTTTTCCATCCTGTCACCCCACCCATCTCCAGTTTGTGTTCCTTGACGGGAACAACAAACATGACCAAGTCGAGGGTAATCTAGGCGTATACCTCTAAAAACTTCCCTTCAACCTGAAAGTGACCAGGCTGGGGGCGGGGTGTCCTATCACTACTTCAACTGTACAGAGAGAGGAAGATATCTTTTATCTGCTGGTTCATTCTTCAAATGGCCACAACAGCTGGGGCTGGACCGGACCAAAGCCGGAGCCTGGAACTCTATCAGGGTCTCCCACATGGGAGAGGCCCAAGAACTTGGGCTGTCTTCTGCTGCTTTCTTGGGTACATTAGCAAGAAAGTAGAGCATTGGGGACTTGAACTACTCATATGGGATGCCAGTAGTGCAGGTGATGGCTGAACCCACTGCATCACAGTACCAGTCCCTCACTCAACTGTGTCAGCATTTAGCCTGTATTTTTCTGACCGATTGAAATAAAAAAGATGGTTTGTCAAATGGCCTGTTAAAAGTGAGATATGACAACTCTATTATTCCTGTAATCAATATTTATGCCAACCAATGAAGGGAATGAGTTAAAACTTGCTAGCAAACTAAAACCACGAATGATTTTCAAAGCTGGCTCAAGCACATAACCCATTAGGCTAGGTTCCTCGTTTCTCCCTTTCAGAAATTATTCAAGGGAGCAGGCAGC